ATGCGGGGCTCGATCCCAGGACCCTGGGATCATGACCTGAGCCGAAGGCAGACGCTTAACGACTGAGCCACCCAGGTGCCCCTAAAATTAGATTTCTTTAAAAAAAAAAAAAAAAAGAGATGCTGACTTAATTGGTCTCAGTGGAGGCCTGGGTTTCAAATGTACATAGGCTCCTCAGGTGGTTCTGACATGTAGCCAGGTTTGAGAGGCACTGTCATAGAGGAAGTGCCTTATCTTCTGATTTACCCATGTTCACGTATCCAGTGAATCTAATAGCTGTGTCACATTATTAGATATGCTAAAAATCAGAGTCACCCACTCATTAGCTGCGTGCCCTTGAAAGAATCATCTAAATTTCATAAGCCTTGTTTTTTTCTTCTCTAAAATAAGGACCATTGGGGTGTCTGGGTGGCTCAGTCAGTTGGCATCTGCCTTTGGCTCAAGTCATGATCCTGGTATCCTGGAATCAAGCCCCACTTTGGGCTCCCCACTCAGTGGGGAGTCTGCTTCTCTCTCTGCCTTTCCACCTGCTTGTGCTCTCTCCCTCTCTCTCTCTAATAAAATCTTTAAAAATAAAATAAAATAAGGACCATTATTACATTAGAGAGTAGTTGTGGAGATTTAAGTAAAACATATAAGATTACTAGGATAGTGCCTAGCATACGGTAAGCACTCAACAAAGTAGGAGTTCTTACAAAGAACTGTGGACATGGCCCTCTGGTAGACATTTAGGAATAGAACTGGATCTCCTCCGAGTCTGGTGGTTGTACTACTATAGAGGCTTCTGCTCTCTACTGAGGCTGTGCAGTTGGACCCACAGGTGGTGCCTGGGATAAGATCAAGGAAAGCTCTGAAGAGGTCCCTCATTGTTCTTAGCTGTCATAAGATGAAACAGAATGGAGTAGTACCCACTTGCTCCTCAGGCAAGTAGAAACCCAGCCCGGAAACCTGTCAAAAATAGAATAAAATATTAAAGGACATTCCAGGAGAAAGGAATGGGTCTCAAATTTGAGAATTAGATCTTCTCCCTTTTTTAAAAAGGGCAGGTGTTGACACTATGAGCTCATTAAGGCCCATGAAGCAAATTGAAGTAAATGTGTGCTGAAGGACACCCCTCACAGAAACCTAGGAACCAGCAGTCTCTTGGATTGTTTTTTTTAAATTTAATTTTAGGCTATTAATCAGAGATTTTAAAATACTTTCTCTGTTTTTCTTTTTAAAGCCTATTTATTTGAATGTGAACATAGGATGAACATACTTGTGTATGTATATATACATATATGTGCATGTGTGTGTGTAGCATGCATTTATAGCATACATTTAAATATAAATTAGGATTTTACAAATATGTAGTCACTTAGAACAAAAATAGGATTTCTGCTAGGATCAACCATGGAATCTCTAAAATGTGACAATAATATTAAAAGTATGAATTCAAGTGAAATCACTCCCTGGGTTCTCAGTCAAAATGCTGGCTCTTTACTACTCTTGCAGAAACCACACCAAGGGTACCCAGGCTTCCAAATTTGACTTTTTAATGCAGTCCACATTTGGCCACTGGCTGGCCTGAAAATCGCCCATTAAAATAGATTCTAAAATGTAGTCTTTTCTAAGTATTTGGGCTGCCCGTAGAATGATTTGAATATAATTTTTATGTAATGTTAACTGAGCCCTAGTCTAATTCTAAGCTCTCTTCCATTCTGTTGCCAGAGTGGCCTTTAGAAAACAGAGACTTGATTATGGTACTCCACTATTCAGGAAATCTTTAACAATTTCAAATCAGTGTCCTTAGCTTGGCACTCAAGACTCCCATAAATCTGGCCCCAAACTACTCTATGGTTCTGACCTTTCTTAGATGTCTTGTGATGCCCATCTCTGCATCTTTGTTCACCCTGTCCCTTCTTAGAATACTCTTTCCACTTTATGTCTGCCTTTCAAACCTCACTCATTCTTTACACTGCAGCTCAAGTCTACCTCCTGTATAGGACATCCCTGGCCCCCACCCAAGCTTACTATCATCCTAATTTTACTTCTTTCCTGCTCATTCTACTTCTCTGCTCTGTGCTTCCTAGAGCTTCTGTATTATTGCTATAGCATTAATTACCTTTTTCCCTGTGTTAGCAAGTGTTTGGGAAGTAACAGTGAATAGTGCTTAAGGGAAAGTAATATAGACTTTGAGCCAAATGAGACCTGAATTAAAACCCTCTGAGGCAAGTCGCTTAATTTTTCTGAATTTCAGCTTCTTCTTCGGTAAAGAAAATATAACCAAATGTGCATGGATTGGCAGGGGAGAGTATATAAGCATATGCAGTAAAGGCCCCCAACAAGAGGTAGCCATCATTACCACAATTATTCAGATAATCTCTCCAGCTAGTTCATCAACAGTCCCTTGCAGCATCTTACCCTCCATAGTGTCTTCTGAATTGAATGGAAGCAGCCCAAATTGATGACATCTGCTGCCTGGATCTCACTGAGCTATTAGTTTTTCAACATCTGTTTTGCATTTCAGGAAGAAATGTCCATTTTTAGGCAACATCAACATTTTCCTGTGGCATTTCAGTATGTCTCAGTCCTGAAATGATTATAACTTGTGCTTGATTGAATCCAAGTCAGCAGAGCCATGGAGAACAGCCCAGCCCATGTGCACATCTACTTTACACAGGCCTATGAGAGAGTGTAGCCCTCTGTAAAAACACCAAGGAACACTATGTCAATTTTTAATAACATTGCCCTTTGCTCAGATGTACAAATCATGGCAGTAATGGAGCTTGGGAAGCTCTTAATTATCCACAGTACTGCGAGACAAGGAGAGCACAGAGACCCTGGTTTTCTCATGTCTAGAGTTCTGGTAAATACACAGGATACACTCAGGATGTGTTTATAATGACAATTATTGACTCCCTTTTCTAAACTCCCAATTTCCTTACAAAACTGAAGAAGAAGAAGCTACCGTTTTCTCTGGTAGTTTCCAAATTATTTCCAATGGAAAGGAAAATTTTCTAAGTCACTATGCTTCATGAATCCCAAGTCTCTGTTTCAGCACCAAGGACAGAGCATCACTGGACTTAATGTCCCTTCATCTTACTTAATCAAAAATTTAAGTGTTTTAAAATTTCTGCTCAGATTTTATGCAGTCACCTAGTATATTGGTTTTCTGAACACTAGTTATGTGTCAGACCATGATATGATATACAAAGCCTCACTAGCCAATTAGAGATCTCAGGGTAGAACTAAGGCAGGAGATGAGTAAGGGAAGCAGTTATAACACTATATGACAAGTGCTGTTACAGAGTTGTGTACAAGTCATGTGGGATCCAGGAGAGGGAATTCTAACTGATAAAGGAAGACTTTACGTAGGAGTTGGCATTTGATCTGGGTACCAAGAATTGAGGAAGTTTACAACATAGAGAAGAGACTCCATGAAAGAATGAATGAGTGAATACAGTGTATTCAGGGACTTGTGGAAATGTGATTTGATGTGGCTGAAAAGTGGGGTGAGTGGAAGGTTAAAGTAAGAGATAAGGAATGGGCTAGGTCAAATCACCGCATACTTACATACCAAGCTAAGGGAGTTAAGCTTTATCCTGGGAAAACGGAGAGCCATTGAAGTGTATTGAGTAGGAACATGATCAGATCACATTTGTGTTTTAGAAAGATAGTTCATACAGTAGGAGAGAGACTATACTGAAAAGAAATAAGAGGGCAGAAGGGCAGGTAAGAGTGACATTTTCCACATAGCCCTGGAAATGAGGAGTTGCTCCATCATAACCAAGGTTAGACAGGGAGAATTTACTTGGCCCAGCTCCCATTAGCTGTTCACCAATATTTCACATGTGCGTTATGTCTCTCCAGATTCTTCCAAGAAGATAAAGGATGTCTTGGCTGAGTTTAATGAGGGTGGGAGCCTCAAACAATATGACCCACATGAGGTAAGAACGTTTCCATTTCAAGCCTTTAAAAAGCCCTATATTCCAGCTTTTCCATAATTTGTTCCACTCTTAAAAGTTTAGCTCATTTTAAAGAACTTGTTTCTCAACATATTTTCTCCTAAGTCTCAAATGAGCCATTTATATGTTTGCCAAGTTTAATGATTCTCTCACTGTCCTAGAAGACTACATCATACCTTCCTCTCTCGCTTCAAATCCTTCCCTTTTCCTGTCCTCATTCTCAGTTATCAACCATGCTTTCTACTTCACTGAGAAAATAGAAACAATCACAAGAGATCTTCCACAAGATCCTCACCCACCTCTGTACCTTTTTTCCTGTAACTAGGAATGAACTCTCCATGCTCCTAGTAAGTTCAGCCCCTCCAGGTATGCACTCATTCCCATCCTCTTCTAGTCTATTGACAGGCATTGCTCTCTCTGTATATATATCTCCTTCACATCAGCTTTCCACTGTTTGTTAGGTTTTTCTCATCAACATATTAACATACAGTTATTTGTCCTATATTAAAATTGTTCTCCTGACTCTAGTTTTCCAGTTACCTCATTTCTTTCCTGTCCTTATAGCAAAACTGTGCAAACAGTTTGTCTATAGTCATTGCCTCTAATTTCTCTTCTTCCCACTTTCTTGAAAGCCCTTCAATCAGAGCATAACCCCCACTTCTCTACTAAGACCACTGGTGAGGATAGCCAAGGATCTCCATGTAGCTAAACTCAATAGGCATTTTACTCAGCAGCATTGGACACAGTTGGTCAGATCCTCCTCTACTGTCTTCACTTGGATTTCAGGACATTGCACTCTCCTGATTTTCCTTTCATCCCTCTAACTTGACATTTTCACTAAAAAATCAAATTGCGATCTCAAACTTAACATGAGCTAAACTGAGTTCTTTGATCTTCCCCTGTAAAACCTGTTTTTCCTGCAGTCTTCCCCATTTCAGTAAATGACAACTCCATTCTTCAAGTTCTTCAGTCTAAAACTATGGAATCATCATTGAGTTTTCCCTCTCACACCCCACGTCCAATTCATCAGCAAACCCTGCCACCTCTACCTTCAAAATATATCCAGAATCTAGTCACATCTTACCACAGGCACCGCTTCCACCCTTACCTGAGGCACCACCATATTTTGCCCAGATTATTGTAATAGTCACCTAACTGGGCTCCTTGTTTCTGCTCTTGATCTTTAAAGTCTATTCTTCATGCTCATCCTGAGCAATCTGTTAAAACTTAAGTCAGATCATGTCATTGCTCTGCTCTACAATCCCTCATGGTTCCCCCACCCCCTACTCAGAGTTAAAATCAAGGTCTTTACCATCTGTACCTCCCTCTGCTCTCTAACCTCATCTCTTGCTACTCTCCTCCTCATTCCTTTCCAGCTATTATTAGCCTTCTTGATGCTGTCAAACAAGCCAAGGTTGCTCTAACCTCAGTACCTTTGCATTTGCTTTTGCCTCTTCCTAGACTGTTTCTCCCACATATATCCACATTGTTATTTCCTCATCTCCTTCAAGCGTTTGCTCAAATCACCTTCTCTGTGAATATCACCTTCTCTATTTAAAATCTTAAGCCCTCTTTCCTGATGCTTCTTACCCCTCTATTCTGCCTTATTGTCCTCTTTAGTATTCCTCACCATCTGTTCTGCTATATATTTGTTCATTTTGGCATCCCCCATGTCCAGAAGAGTAATCTGGCTCATAGCAGGCACTCAAGAAATATTTGTTGAATGTATAAATGAATGCAAGACCTCCACTACTTTCAGATTCAAGTCATCTAATGTTTCTTGAACATCCAGGCACTGTGGAAGATATAAAGGCGAAGAAGCACCGTTCTTGCCCTCCAGAACTTACTTCCTATTGGCAGGCTCTGGAGTTACATGGCCTTAGGTTAGACTTCTACCTTTGATGCCAACCAGCAACGTGGCCTGAAATATTACACCTTTCTGAGCCTCACTTGCCTCATCTTTGACCTGAAGATAACAACAAACAAAGACATGAAAGTTTGCAGATGAGTGGATGGAATGAGATAATTTTTAAAATGTATAGGACACTTTAGTGCTCGCTTCGGCAGCACATATACTAAAATGTATAGGACACTTTAAAAATGGTACCCACTATTATTCCCCTTCTGGCTCCTTTCCTCAGAATGTTTAAAACTCAGCTTCCTTTTCCCTGCTCCTGGGTCCTTTCATGAGGGCTAACTGCAGAAAAATGATCAGCAGGAAAAACTTGGGACAAGACAGGTCACTTATTTATTCGTATTGTCATCCTTTCAACGACCCTTGAGTCAACTCTGCTGCTGGGTACTGGCAGCGAACCAACAAAGCACATATCCTCGAGGTTTACCTGAGCAGGGGTTTTGGATCAAATGTACCAATCCTCAGGAGAACGAAGCAGGAGGAAGGTTGCCCATACAGAGCCAGACTGAGAATGAACCATTTCAAAGAACATTCCTGTGGAGAAGCCATGCAGAGAAGATGGCAGAGCCAGCAAAGAACTCCCTGCCCCTCCCACCCCTCCCCCAGCACCAAAAACACAGGAACAAAGAAGGGTGGGAGCTGCTAATCAGCCCATCAGTCCTGAGGCTAAAGAGTAGGAGGGGAACAATTTGGTCAGGGCTACTGAGGGTGTGAAGGCCCCCGGGAACTTTCAGAAGCAGAGAGCAGCTTGGCTGTTATGAGCCTGCTGCCACCCCCCCCCTCCATCAGGCTGGCCCCCACTCTTTGTACGCCTGGCACTGCTGTGTCCCAGGGAAGCTCTGTCACTCTGATTGTATTCTCTCTCACAGTGTGGCTGGCTTCTAGTAGGTGTAATGTCCCCACACGTGGTTGGGGAAACAAAAAGAATTTCATTTCTCTTGAGCTTGATGGCTTACTGCTGCTAAAAGGTCTCAAGGAAGAACGAGTTAGTTGTGGGAAGGGGCAAGTAACTAGGAAAGCGAGGCCAGGAATACAAGTGCATCTGGCCGTGACAAGCAGGCCCCTGCCTATCAGTGCTGAGTGATTCTCTGGAGAACCGAGTACAGCAGACAACAGCCAGAAAGTGAAGCAGAACACAGTGGAGCAAAAGGGGCAAGGTGGCTTGGTGGCCTTATGATCTTAGACTCAGACACATCTAAGCACAGAGCCCACCAGCTCTGCCACTTGCTTTATGACTCTGAGCAAGTTATTCATGTTTTCAGAATTTTTTTCATTCACCAAATGGCAGTAATAGTCACACCTCACACTGTTGTTTCAAGACTTAAATGAGATCATGTATATAAACTGCCCTATACACAGTAAGCTGTCCATCTGGTTCCCCTCCCTTCTTGACCTGTGCAAAAATTCGCACTTGAAACAGATTGCAGAAACAGCAATTTCCCAGTTAGTTCCTATATGAAAGTGGCAGTTTCTGGGAAAAAACAGGCCTGCGTCATGACAGTGCCTAGCATGTTATTCCAGAGCAAAGACATGGCTCAGCATGCCTCATAGTGTTTGTTTATCTGGTTTGGGCATAGTAAACCACTTTCTACCCACATTCACTAACAGCTCCTCTGAGCCTGGCTTCTGCTCGTAAAGAACTCACTCTCTCATAACTCAGATACAACTCTGAGAGTGGTACACAGTCACATTTTTTTGCATACTGTACTTGAGGTTCTTGGAGAGAGTGACAGGGAGCCATATGTTAGCACTGGGACCTGGAACAGACGTGGGAGCTGGAGCACTGGACTGGGAGTCAGAAGATCAGGCTTCTGGTTTTACTCTGCTGCTTGATGGCTGGGCAAGTGACTGAACTTTCAGAACCTCAGTGACATGAGGAGGTCTGGGCTCTTCTGGTGTGAATGTCCTTTGTTTCTGGGTTTATTCTATGCCATCCCGTTCCCCTGAATAGGGTCATGAATGGTTGGACATGGGTTCAATCATCGTTTTCTAAGTTCTCATAATAGTTTGTCAGTACTTTTCCTGTACGCACCACTATTGATCCTGTATTGGAATTATTTCAACACCTGAGTCTCTTGAAGGTATAGACCTCTGTGTGTGTTCCCCAAGGTGTTTCTTGTACATAGGAGGTTCAGTACATATATATTGACTGAATAGACCCTACAGTAATTGATGACAGCCAAGTGTACAGCAAGAAACCCCACAGCCATTAAAATACCTGTCAGGAAACACTGTCATATGTGGTGTGGGGATACTTAGATAAAATAGGATATTTCACTACCTTCCCAGATCTCTAGATGTAGTTGAGGAACTAAGGATATATTTATCATAAACAACTCTGTATTAATAAGAGGGCAGCTGATAAAAGTGTCATAGGACATGAACTGAAGTGGAAAAGTACAGAAATTCAGGTACAAGGGATCATACCAGGCTTCCTGGAGGAGGTGACATCTGGGCTGGACCTTAAAGGATAGCTAGAGTTTTAACAGGTAGAGAAGGAAGCATTTTATGAGATACGCATGGAGGCTTGACCAGGAAAGAACATGGAGATCAGTGTGGACACAGGGTAGAGGTACACATAGGGAATAATAGGAGAAAAGACCAGAATGATCTCAGAGCTTGAAGTAGTTATAAATCTAGGTTGGAGTGGGATTATGGGAGGGCTGTGAATCCCAGAGGACTCAAGGAGTACACAGGATGATCCCCTGGTGTGTGGGAACATTGCAAATTAGACCTTCTATGCACATTGATTTTTAATTATGTTATGTTAATCACCATACATTACATCATTAGTTTTTGATGTAGTGTTCCATGATTCATTATTCACATTGATTTTTATCTCATCTTTCTTCTATTTTCTAATTTCTTCTCTTGTGTATGTTTTATAGTATGTAATAGAGAGAAGCACAGTAGTACATGTATACAATTTATAAGTAAAGATAAATGGGAATGCATGCTCAAAATGTTATAGAGGGACATATGATTTAAAACTGATCTCACCTCTCCCATGGGCAATTAGTAGGCATGGAATGTTTTTGTGTAGGAAAGCAATCTGTTCAGAATTGTGCTTTGGGAAGATCAATCTGGCAAGGATGGATGAGATGGGAGGACTGACAGATGCGGGTGGAGGCAAATTGAGAAGTATTGCAGTGGTCCAGGTAGGAGGTACAGAACAGAAGTCTGAAACCAGGGAACACCGGGCCTCTATAGCTTCTCGTCTGGGTGGAGGCAGCTGGACAGTGGACACACAGAAAAGACCTGGAGGTGACAGACGTGGCAAAAGAACAGTGAATAAAAGGAAGGGACAACACCTAGTCTCCAGTGACTGGGAGTTCAAAATGGAGCCTGGTATTGTCAGTATTAGCAGAAACTGCAGGGTCAGGAAGAGGAGCTGGTTGAGGGAGGGAGTTAATAGAAGCTGAGAACTTGAGATCTTCTCATTCAGCACTCACCATCTGCTGAAGAAGAAACTGAGGTTCACAAAGAGGGGGAAATAGGGTAGAGCTGAGACCAGTCACGAGGTCCCCTGAATCCCACACTGCTCTTGTTTGATGATCTTTCAACTTTGGTTTTTGAAGAGCGTTATATTAGACTTGGTTTAACTAAACTTGCTCTTTTTAAAAATCATTTAGTATAGTCTGTTTTCCAGAAATATTTTCTGCTGATAGTTCTCAATTTGGTAAGATTAACGGGACACTTTGGGGCTCAAAACTACTGTTGACCCTTGAGTAACGTGGGGGTTAAGATTGCTCTACCCCAACATAGTCGGAAATCCACATATAACTTTTGACTCCCCAAAAGCTTAATTACTAATAGCCTACTGTTGATTGGAAGCCTTACTTTTAACATAAATAGTTGATTAACACATATTTTATATGTTATATGTATTGTATATACTGTACTATATTATACAATAAAGGAAGCCAGAGAAAGGAAAATGTCATTAAAGAAATCATAAGGAAGAGAAAATACATTGACAGTGCTGTACTGTATTGAAAATTTCCACAAGTAAATGGGCTTGTACAGTTCAAACCCATGTTGTTCAAGAGTCAATTGTACATTGTAAACAGTGCTTGTCAATTTAAATAGTGTGAAGGAAAAGACAATGCAAAAAGAGCCTTTTAAAATATAACAGTGCCATCAGCAAAGAGTCAAATCAGAGAATGAAGAAAACCAAAATAGCACAACAACATGGAAAACAGAAAGTTTAAGAAGAGAGGATGGAATGCTACAGAGAAGCCAAAGATGAGCAAGTCAAAAAAGAGACAACTGAATTGATGACTTTCAAGAGAGTGGGTTCAGAGGTGATGGGCTAGAACCCAGACTAAATGGGACTAAAGAGGTAACAGGCTAGTGTGGTCTGGCCAGGGCACATAGAAGGGGAAGAGAAGAAGGACAGGCTAGTAACTCGAGTATCCAGCCATTTCTTTGGAACAGTGACTTTGAACATGCTTGCAGGCAGAAAAGCAGATGCTGGGAGATGCCTTCAGATGGAGAGAGGGTGGAATCAAGGGTCATAGTGGGTAGGTTCCACCTGGAAAGTAGGAGGAAAAGATTTTGCTCTTGCAGACTGATAAAGAGGAGGATGTGTGGGGCAGAACACTTGGGTGTTGAGGCTGTGGAGACAGGGTCAGAAAGAGAAACACAGAGACTCAGGGGTAGAAAAGACAGAGAGATAGAGGCATATTGGTGGTAGTTGTCACAAGAAATATGAATCTAGAGATCCCTTAATCTGCTAGGAGCCTGCATTATCCTCTGTCCAACCAAATCAGACTTCCTCCACTCTGCAAAGGACAGCCTGGAGCAAGTAGAAACTGCCTTGTGAGCTCCCTCCCAATGGGGTCAAGAGGGCATTGCTTGTTTTTAGGGCCAAAACTTTGTATTCCAGACCTGGTTGTATATATTTAAGCCAGCTCATGGTTCTGGGAAGGCTCCCAGATTTTCTAGAAGAGACAAGGGGTTAAATGCTATCAACATTTTGGAAGGAGAGCCAAGTAGGCTCCCAAAAAGGGATTTTATTCTCATGGCTGTTATTATTTACAAAAGCCTTCACAGCAGATCTTAGAGTAGAGCTTCCTCAGTGATTTCCAGGAGCATCTGCCGATTTGATGAAGAATCTGATGCCATCAGAGCACGAGCCAGTGATGACTCACTGCAAACTGTCTTTGTTGAGTGTTTGCTGAGTACAGCAGCCTTTTCTGGCATGGTTGCTCCCAGCCCGGGACCAGAAGCCAGGCAGTAGTGGGAGAGATACAGCAGGGAGAGGTTCTAGTTTTTGGCATGTTTCTTGATTCTACCTTCTGTCCTTGGCTTCCTGCTCTTCTCCCAGTGCCTAAAACCTTCACAAGGACATGTTTTGAGAGCAGCTGAGCCATCACATACCCTCTCCTGTTCTCTTGAGGTTCATCCAGGGAAGATCAGTTATGAAAGTAATGAAGGATGGAGCCTGTCTTTTCCTATTTTCTGAGACCTGACCACTCAGGAATCACATCCCTCACAACACAAGCAGAAAATGGAGACACCACAGAAGAACCATCTTTCCATCGTATTTTCCACTATGTCCTTCTTCATCTTCATTAAGATTCCAGGGCACAGACCAAATCCTGCTTATTAGAGAGCAGTCTGGCTTGTGGGCCTCGACTCAGGCAGAGCCCTTCTCTGTGGCCTCCACTCCCAATGCCCGTTCCCCATCACCCCCTTTCTACCTAGTTTTGGACACATCTTATTACAGAAGCCTCTTGCAAGCCCCAACATGCAACCACCAGTGTCATCTCTTTCTTGCATCCTGTCCCCTGCTCCCTGTGCTTGTTATTCTCCATCACTTCCTGGCCTTTTCATTCCTGCACCCACCAAGTCCCACACTTCCTTCTGCTTCCGTTTCATTTCTCTTGCCTGCCTGCCCCCTCCCCAGTTTCTCTGTCCTCTTTGTTTCTTCTCAGCCAATTAGCTACGATGTCTTCAAGCTGTTCATGAGGGCGTACCTGGAGGTGGACCTTCCTCAGCCACTGAGCACACACCTCTTCCTGGCCTTCAGCCAGAAGCCCAGGCGGGAGACCCCTGACCACCCAATGGACAGGGCCAGCAATGAGGCCGGTGGCCCAGGTATGTAGACCAGTGTTACCCAAGATAGAAAGGAGATTTTGTAGCTCTGATGCATTTGCCACAGGCACAGCTGCATTTCTAACGGGTGCTCTGTGCATAGTAACTTCCTTATGGGGTGTGAATGGGGATCAGGGCACCAGGACTCCTTTCCCCAGAGGTCCTCACAGGAAGCCGTGTCTGATGGCTCTCTCAGAGAAACAAAGAGGGGCAAAATTCCTGCCCTCAGGATCAGAGGGGACATGGGGAGGAGAGGAAGCCCAAACAAATGCATGGCAGGGGAAGAGAACCTTCTGCAAAGACTGCAAGAAGCCTTTGGAGGGAGCACCTTCAGGTCATGTACCCAGGCTGGAATGAGCCCAGGAGTGTCAGAGGAAGGGTAAGGTGTGGTCACTGTCTTCTTGAAGCTTGGGCTGTAATGAGGGAGACATAGCCAACCCCAATAAGTCAGCATAAACCCAGCTGACACTCAGAGACACACAACTCAAGTGATCGAGACCCCATAGGAAGGTTCCCTACCTGTCTCTCTAAGAAGCTAGAGAACATGAGCTGGTCCTCAAACCTTCTTCTTACTCCCCAGACACCAACATACAGAATGTGGATAATGCTGCCAAAGCAGATGAGGCCTGTGCCCCTGATACAGGTAAGTCTTTATAATACTAGATTTGCGGGGTGGGGTGCAGTAGAGAATACCCCATCCTTGGGAGGAGAGGGGTAAATCTAACCAGCAGTTTGTCTCCGTGTCATTGTAAATCCTTTAAGCAGATCTTGTCGGCCTCTGTCTTTGGGGCCTTTACCACTCAAATGTGCTGGGATTCTGAGGCTTGATCAGGCTTTTGCTTCACTTGCCCTGAAACAGGGCGGCTCATTACTTATTTACTTCTGTTGGGGCTGCCTGGCCAGAAAGGGGAGAAGGGGAACCTTCTTGGGAGAAAGTATATGATGGGGGTTTGAGTGAGTGTGTGTGTGCCTGTGTGTGTGTGTGTGTGAGAGAGAGAGAGAGAGGGAGAGAGATGCAGAGGCAGAGACAGGCAGAGCATGTACATAAAGAAGTGGCTCTAGGGCTGAGATACAGATGACTCTGCCTGTGGATGGTTGAAGGTGGGTAGGGCAAGAAGGTAAGAGTGAGCTCAGTTGGACAAAACTGTATAGAGCTGCACTACAAGAAATGGTAAAGGGAATCTTCTTAGTAGAACTATACCATATGGAAACCTGGGTTTACATACAAGAATGAAGAGTGCTGAAACTGATAACCACATGGGGAAATACAAAGAATATTTTTCTTATTAGTTAAATCTCTTTGAAAGGCAATTAACTATCGAAGCAAAAAAATGACATTGTGTTGTGCAGTTTCTAACATACATAGAAGTGAAATGTAGAACACTAGCACAAAGGCACAGTTGGGAGAATTGGAGGTATTTACATGCCCCGGTTTTAATAAGTCAGGAGGAGGAGCAAGGTGAAGCAGTTAACATTATTTTCATCTATTTGCCAGGGACCTGGAAGGATGAGAGAATATTTTCAAGTGGATACTAGATGTAGTTCTAATCTTTTTTCTAGTCATGGCAAAAAGGGCAACTGGAAGGATTATAGAGTTTTCAGGGTATAACTGAAGGACTGGTGAGATAAAAAATTTACTGTGGATGAAAAGCAGAGCACAGTTGGGAAAGGAAAGTTGCCTCTGGACCAAAAGCTCAGCAAATTTCAGGCTTCTCATAGAGCTCCACGAAGCAAGGATTACGAGCATCGGTGCCTTCCTGAGGCCTTCAGGGGCAGCATCAAGGCAAGACTCTACAAAGTATGGCTCACCCACCTGCCCTTCCCAGCATCCACCCACCCATCCTATGTCCATGGCCGCTTGGGTAAATGGATTTAAGTTATAAATCAGTCTTAAATCATATGTGGAATAGCAGAGGCATGCTATGACATAAAGTATTCTCATAATAGGAAGAGAAGGGTGAAATTGGAAACCTTGAGATTCTAAACTCTGAGTAAGAAAATCAACCATGACAAGCATTTGGACCCAGATTCTTTACCCAGAGACTTTCTTAGTCCAAGTATCTGGAACTTCAAGAGGAACTTGAGAGAAATTGTACTTCATTCCCTGAGGTTCCAAATTGTCTGGGTAGGACTGGTTTTAGTGGCTGAAATTTCTGAGTAACCAAGGAAGGACTTATTGGGGGTGCTGTCATTACATGATATTTGAGAAAAGGTAATCGATGTTGATAATGGAACTTGGCTGGTGTATTTGACCACCAGGTTTATTTGCAACATTTGTATCATTCTGGGTCTGAGAGCAACTTCTAGAGACTTCCTCCTGGAGAAGTGATTTGTGATGTACCATATTCCTTGTGTCTGGAGAGTATCAGTTTCCTGTGGTCAGATAATAAAAGGGTAATGATCTGACTGCTGGCCCAGGGAGGTATATAGCATTTTTTCATCTCTTGTGACTTGAAATTTAAAGTAGAAAATCCTTTTCCTGTTAGGCCGCCTTCCATGGATGTCTTAATTAGATGCCCCAGTTCACCAGAAACAGGAATGTAGGGACAGACGGATACCACAGAGAGGGGCCTCTGCCAATAAGGAAGAGCCAACTTCTGGTATCACCTTAGATCAGGCCATCTGTTAAAAATCCCAACCTTTTCCTGTCGCCCAAGCAGAAGCCAGAGGAAACTAGATTCTCATTTGCTATGGCTTATTTAGGCCTATGAGAGCAATCTCCAAGCTAGGATCTAGAACAACCCAGTTCAAGTTATTCATTTCCAGAACCCAGTAGGTGAACGGTTGGGTCCATAGGCACAACAGAGAGCGGCTTTCACTAAGACCAGACATAGACTCAGAGCCTTGAGCAATCTGTCACTGTCAGGATGTCAGCTAGGAAAGCCTGAATGCACCCTTCCCTCAATGCCCAGGTCTAAATGGGTTAAACGATGTGAACTTTATTCTCCTGGTTTTTATTTCGGTCTTCAGGCTCTTGAGATATTTCAGCAACTTGGAATATTGAACTCTCAAGGACAGTCCTTCAGTTGTTTCTTAGTTTTTCCCAATTGTAAAAGCAACACAGTTACACTGCCAAAAATTTGAAGAGTACAAAAAAAAAAGAAGGAATCAACAAAATCACCCATAATTTACCAGTGAAGTTACACACATGCATGCATACACGTATCCTTGTAGGTTTTTTCTATACATTTTTTTACAGAATTGGAATCAGACTATACATATTTTGGAACCAGCTTTGTTTTTCACTTAACATTATACTCACAAACATTTTTCATGTCATTCAAGACTTTTGGTAAAGATCAATTTTAATGCAAGTCCTCTTTCCACAGATGAAAAATCTGAGGTTGAATATAGTAAGCCCACTCGTGCAAGATCACACACCATTTAGCACAAACCCAGAGCTAGAAACCCAGTCCTCTGCCTCTAGCTTGGTTTTCTTTCCACTATGCAACACTGCCCAACTAGAGGCAACAAGTAATACAGAGACTAGGAGAGAAGGTGGAACTAGTCAGGCCTGCCTAAGAACCCTCAAGCAAAAAGGTTTATGACATGGCACCTAGACAGAACTTCTGTAATCTGGAAGACGGTGTTAGTCTTTTATTACTGATGGTCCCTGAGGGATGTACTTAGATGGCCATAGGTTGGGAGTGTTTTACATAAGGCAGCTTGAGGAGGAAAAGCACTAGTAGGACCATGTGCCCCTCAGTCCTTCTGTATCCCAGCATTTCCATGACTGGGGTGACCAGTACATCTTAGAACAGTGGTTCAAGATCCAGTCATAGTTCTGGTAATCCAAGGATCTTTGGAAAAGGCTGTAATAATGTTTTAAAACAGCTTTGGTGAGGTATAATTGGCATAAAATGAATTGCACATGTTTAAAGTATACAATTAATAATTTTTTCCATATGTATACACCTATAAACCAGGACCACATCGATATAATGAAGATGTCTATCATCTCCAAAGTTGCCTTATAATCGCTTTCTCCCACCCTCCCTACCACCACCTGCATCTCTGTACTATCACTGATCTGCTTGCTGTTACTATAGATTAGACTGAATTTTCTATCCTTATACATAGAATCATACAGTATGTACATTATTTGGTGTGGCTTCTTTTACTCAGCATAATAGTTTTAAAATTTATCCATGTTGTTGTATGTATCAATAATTAACATATTTTTAATACTGATTAGTATTCCAATATATAGGCGGATATTCCAAAATTTGTTTATCCATTCACCTCTTGATGGACTTTTGGGTTGTTTCCAGTTTGAGGCTATTACATATAAAACATGAATATTCTTAGTACACGTCTTTATGTGGACAGCTTTCATTCCTTTTAGGTAAAGATCAAGGAATAGAAAGTTTAGGATCATTATGTTCTTGTGATGATATCACCTCTCCATTATGAAATGACTCCCTTTATTCCTGGTAATACTCTTTGCTTTGAAATCTACTTTATTATAATTATATTCATAATTAAGGTAGCCATTCTAGTTAACTAGAGTTATAGTGATATCTTCCTCCATTCCTTTAATGTATTTGTGTCTTTATATTTAAAATGACTTTTTTATAGGAAACATGTAGTTGGTTGGGTCTTTTTTATCTAAGCTGACTATCTCTGCCTTTTAGTTAGAATTTTAGAACATTTAAATTTACTGTGATACTTAATATCATTAGGTTTAAAAGTACCATCTTGCTATTTGTTTTTTTTCCCCCATCTGTCCTTTCTTTCCCTTTTGCTCTTTTTCTGTCTTCTTTTAATTAGTTGAATTATTATTTCATTTATCTCCTTTTTAATGTTATTAGCTATAACTCTTTGTTACATTATTTTAGTGACTTTTAACTATCACAGTCTATGTTCAAGTAATATTACTCCACTTTGCATATACTATATGAAATTTACTGCAATAGGGGCGCCTGGGTGGCTCAGTCGGTTAAGTGTCTGCCTTCGGCTCAGGTCATGATCCCAGGATCCTGGGATCAAGCCCCACTTCGGGCTCTGTGCTCGGTGGGGAGCCTGCTTCTCCCTCTCCCTCTGTCTGCTGCTCCCCCTGCTTGTGCTGTCTCTCTCTCTGTGTCAAATAAATAAATAAAATCTTCAAAAAAGAAAAAAGAAATTTACCTCAGTATACCTCCATTTCTTCCACCTAGGCCTTTGTGCTATTGTTATACATTTTACTTCTATGTATGTTAAATTATAAACTGTACAACCACATTGTTATTATTTTTGCTTCAGTAGTTAATTATCTTTTAAAGAGATTGAACTAATAAAAATACTTTTTATCTTTACCCATGTGGTTACCTGTTTTAGTACTCTTTATTCTTGTGTATAAATCTAGGTTTCCATATGGTATAATTCTACTGAAAAGATGTTCTATATCATTTCTTGTATTGCCACTCTGTACAGTTTTGTATATCTGAAAAATTCTTTACTTTGCCTTTTTTTCCTAAAGATATTTCACTGTGAGTAAAGAATTCTAGGTTGACAGGGGCATCTGGGTGGCTCAGTCAGTTATGCATCTGCCTTCAGCTCAGGTCATGATCCCGGGATCCTGGGACTCCCCAGACTCCAAACTCCACCTCCTCAACTCAGAGAGACTTCCAGGATCTTCCTGGGTTCCCCTTCCCTGTGCTGCAGCCTAGAAACTCTTTCTGGACAGTAAAATGTGACAATTACAGTGATCATCTCATTTGTTTTTTATCTCTTGGGATCACCATTTGGTGCTACCACATTCAGTGTCCTATGAACCATTGTTTCATATTTTTTGTCCAGTTTTTAGTTGTTTCAATAGAAGGGTAAATCTGGTACTGTTATTCCAATTTAGTCAAAATAGAAGTCATTGTAATAGCCTTTTAATGGATGGATAATCTGAGGATGTAACAGTAACTTGAGGTATAATGGGCTATCCAGTACAAAGGATTTCTCACATTTGTCTTCTATGTTACTATGTTTTTTCCTAACTTTTCCTCCAGTGATGATTTTAATACTTCTGTTGCATATGTAATTTTATTGCAATTTCCCCCATCTCATTGTCTTTTTTTTTAATCTCATCCTATTATATTTTTGTCTCAACTTGCTCACCTGTGAGGCTTTCTGCCTAGAGGTTATATCTTCTTGCAACCTCCTAGGGTCTTGTCCAGTAGGAAATTGTTTCCAAAGGTCTGATTTTTGGAGACTTCAGGATGGAGCTTCCTTTCCTTGTCTTGCAGCTTTGCTTCATAAGCTCCATCTTGGTCTCTTCACAGGGCCCCTTGTAGCGTACATAGAGTGTCGGTGAGACAGTGGTCTCACCCCCTGTCCATCTGGATCATGGTTAAATGCCTTTTCAGACCACGAAACTCCTAGGACCGGTAGGCTTTCATGTGGCAGAGCTCTACTGGCGTGACACGAACTGTTTTCCTTTGCATGGCACTTTGGCTCTCTGAACAAAAAGTGTACTGATAGCATTGCCTTCCCCAGCAGGCATTACTATCAGGGCCAGCTCTCTCTGCCCATGCCTTCAGCACTCCATTACTTAGTGGTACAACACCTACCTGGATTTTCCACTCCCAGTCTTCCTCTTACTTTTCCCCATGTTTTCTATGAGTTGCACCCTCTTCCTGGAAATTAAGAGATCATTTCTGATGGGCGTGGATCTGGAGAGACTGGGAGAAGAGAGATGGCCCTTAAAGTACCTCAAGAAAGTATAATTCACACAGTAAAGTATAGGTGCCCAGTTTTCTCATTAGTAATAACCTCATGTTTCTGAACTAGAGGACAAAGAGTATAAGAGAGACAGCATTTTCTTACCTAAGAGAAGGAAAACTCACTCTATTTCTGTGGTATGATAAACCACTTTCTGCATTTTCTTAATCCAACTGATTAGGCTTGCAGCTAGTCAAAATTCTTCCTAGTTTCTGGAAATTTGTTGATTGTTGATCCCAGTTTTCTTTTTTAAATATTCATCTTCTTACTTATCTTTAAATGTATTTGAGAAGAAAATTGTGAAAAGGTCTATCGGTAAATGGCCAATAGTCTGGATTTTGGAATCCTAGCCAAAATTCTACAAACTGAGTGTGTTCCCAGACAGTTAGGCTAAATGACATTTACCTGTTGGCTATTGATATTACTAAAAATCACTGTCATCTTTTCTGGAAATTCACAGGGTATAGGTGAATTTCTTACAAGGTTATAGAGTCTTGAAAGGATCAGAATGAGGTCCATTCAGAGAGTATGAACTCCACAAACTAGATTTCTAGGGCCACTGATTTGATCATATTTAAGTAACCAATACTTTTGAGGACACTTGTATAAAATTCTGGCCTCTATCAAGAAAATGATGGAGCAACAAAAGGGGTTTAATATTTACCAAACATTAAGTGTCTTTGGATGGTTTCCTTTTGCCGATCACAGAATCAAAGATCACTGAGAAGCAAGTGCCAGCTAAAGAACAGGTTGCTGCAGCCCCCCTGGGAAACGCTGTTGCTCCAACTCCAGGCTCAGAATCTCCCATAGTGTACCTGAAGGATGTCGTGTGTTACCTGTCCCTGCTGGAGATGGGGAGACCTCAGGATAAGCTGGAATGTAAGTGCTCGCCCTGTCAAGGGGTTTCAGTTTTTTCCTAGAAGATCTAGTACCTTGTCCTTCATTCTAAGCATGCTGGAGATTGATCTGGGATTGTGGGTATTGGTGACCCTTGCTTGGAGAAAGTGCTTCTGTCCTGTCACCAGCAGTGGTCTGGACATTTCTTGGCAATCCACATTGGCAGACAGTACTAGTTATATGGAGAGTAGGAAGTGCATCTGAGACCTTGCTATTGAGAATCAGGATTTGGAAAGGGGAGAAGTCTCTACAGGGGGCCAGGACTCCCTTCTTTTGCTGGCAGGACTTCCTAAAAGCCTCCAACCAGAAAGTTCCTACCTTCCCTTATTTTTCAAGGGGGGATATTCAACAGCTGTCTTCCCCCTCTTATTCTGTACCCAAGCAGCTCTTTATGAGGAATTCCTTTTTCTTGATCAACCTCTATCTTTTAAAGGTTACTTCTATTTCTTCACCCACCCCCACCCCAAGTTTTTTGGCCTCTAGAGAAAAGGGACTAGTTAAGTGAGGGAGTTGAGCTTTGTTCCATAATGTGACTAACATAGGTTTCAAAAACGTATCTTCAGAGAGAGAGAGAGTAATGGCTGGTGGCAGAAAGGAAAGCCCACAGTGGCTGAAAGAGCCTGCAGTCTTGTAGAAGACTCACTGCAGGGATGGTCTCCCCCACCTCCGTGAGCCTAGAGGCAGACTTTTTAAAAGAGGAGATAATAGGACCTTGTTAAAAAATATATATTGTTTTGGCCCCTCTTGGGAACTTAGTAGGTATTAAGGGAAAAAACATACACATCATAGCAAAATAAAAATTCCAGTTAATAAGAAGGCTAGTTAATAAAGCTTAAACACTAACAAGGAAATATCTGGCAAAGGTTAACCCTTGCCAAAACCAAAATGAAACAGTTCGCTCATTAGCTGAGCTTAAAATCTCCCCCATAGTTTTGAGGTGTTAACAATTGCAAGTCTGAAGTGCTAATTTGGTGGCAGATATAGCAGATTTCTGTTTCTTTTGGCTAATGTTAAAAGTGAAATGTCAAACTATTTCCAACATTCAGCTGGATTTTGAGTTTCAGGCATTGTATTTGTTCATAATTACCAGAGAGGATGTGGCAGATTTTTTCATATTTGTGGCTCTCAGACTGAGTCTTGTAATGGCAATAAAAGAAACTGCATTAAAAAAAATACTTTTTGTTACAGAAAATTTCCAACACAGATAAAAGTAGAAAGCACAATGAACTTCCGTATACCCATCAGCCACCTTCAGCAATTACCTGCTTATAATCAATCACGTTTTATTAATACGTCCCATGCATTCCCTCTGCCCCAGAATATTTTGAAAAAATTCCAGACATCCTATAATTTCACCTGTAAATATTTCAGTATGTACCTCTAAAATACGACTTTTTCTTAAATATAACCCCAGCACCATTATCACATTGAAAGACAATGATTCCCTACTATTGCCTGTAGGCAGTAGGAGGCAGAGCTAAAGTAAGAACAAAAGCATTCGTTTAGGGCCTCAGAATAGCAATTTGGGGAACACAGATTGGGCAGCAACCCAAATAGTGCCCCTCCCAGGGAACAAAAGTCAAGGGTATTTACAGACAAAAGGGAATGCTTGTATATGTTGTTTACAGAGAATTTTGATGGTGTTGATGGCAGAAAACTAATCTTGACTGAATATAATTGGTGACTGAGGTTACCACTAAGCAAAGTCTCTTCATGTAGCAAGTTGCAGGTGTTCGGGTTGAGTCTTTGGAATATTTGCAGTCTGGCCCAGTTCAGAGTTCACTGTTCCACCCAGTGAGGACGTGCATGAGGCCTACCTCCTTAATGGCCTCCCAGCTCCATTTTAAAACCCCTTGACATAAGTGACTTCATTTAATTTCACCTTTTATCTATCAGATATTCAGTCAGTGTTCACATTTTCCCAATTATCTTACATATTTTTAATTGTTTATTTGAATCAGAATCCAAATGTACTCCATACATTGCCATTGCTTCTTATGTTTCTTCTATTTTAATCTTCTGCTTATTTTTTTCCGCGTAATTTTTTATTGTAGAAACTTGGTTATGTTTGTTCTCTAGAGTTTTTAATCTTTTTTTTTTTTAATTAAACTGGATGAATTCAAATCCTTCCCTGATTTTAGTGATTGAAAGCAACTTAAGCTTTTCTTTTTTAATAACCAATCATGTATCTTTTTGGAAATAATAGCCTGAAATCCTATCATTCATACATTAACAATAACTCTCATTATTGAACACCTTTTATCTGCTAATCACTTTAAATGTATATCTCATTTTAACCTCACAATAATCCTAGAAGGTCAACGTGATTATTCTCATTATATGTGTCAGAAAGCACAGAAAGTATAAATGACTTGCCCAAGCCCATGCTGCTAATAAACTGAATGCTTTCTTTATAGTTCTACTGTCCTTGCATAGCAGGACCAAGAGAGCTCCATGTTGAGAGTCGCCTGGGCCCAGGGTCTGGGAACAGCAGTAGTGGGAAGGCCTGTCCTTTCTGTCATTCAGCCATCTGTTTGGCAAGTCAGCCTCATATGCTGAGTGCCTCTGACCAAGACATTTTGAAGACTCACGGAGAATTGGAAGGCTGTTGACCCTACTTTGACAAAACCTCGACTCCCACCACAGTCACACCACTGAACAAACACAAGGTGCAGGAATATCACAACATATAGAAAGATGTGACAACACACAAGCAACCTAGCAGGAGTGTCGTGAACTGTGGGTACCTGCTGAGAGGTCCAGAGTGGGTATGTGTGGGAAGAGACAGTCTGGGGAGGCTCCATAGAGAAAGCAGGCCTGATGAAGGGTTTCAAGAACGAGAGGAAAATGAAGATGTGTTCAGTTCTACTCCCCACTCTGCTTACTTCTGAGATCACAAACAGGATCTCTACCTTTAAAATGAATGAAATGTAAGTTCCCAAGTCCCAAAAATGAAAATTTAGTCCTTTGCCCAAATTTCTCTCCCAGATCTTCCTTATCCTGCATCACCTCCCTACAACTAGAACATGATAGAGGATGTTTCTGAATAGCATGTTGACATTTTATTTTATTTTTTTTATTATGTTATGTTAATCACCATACATTACATCATTAGTTTTTGATGTAGTGTTCCATGATTCATTGTTTGCGTATAACACCC